ACCTGATGAGGTGTAGGAAGTCAGCAGTTAGGCCCATGCATCACACAGACTTTTGCACTGCCGCTGCAAAGCCTGTAAGAGATGCACATGTGAAACATCACTGAAGTATCAGATAAAGAGTTTCTGCAGAGTGCTGTGGCTGCTAGAACCAATCTTTTACATTTTATGTTCGAAAGACGTTTTTAGGTCAGCTCGTCACACATTTGTTGACTCATGTGACCTGGGACACTCACAGAGCGGGTGCAGAGTGGGAAACTGAAGAAGCTTATAGTATTTGTTCAACAGGAAAGTGATCCTAATAAAATAAAACAGCAAAAACATCACTGCCAGAGCGCACACAGTACAACAAGGACAAAGGCAGGACTGAGGCCATACAGCACAGACACACAAGGGAACAGGTGTGCAAACATACAGGTGAAAACAAGGCAGTGAAACTGAGTGCAACACACACTGGACTACCAAAATAAAACAGGAAGTAAGGTAACAGAGACACCGGGAAACAGGAGCTCCACACTAGAACCATGAACAGAACTGGGACCAGACCAGGACAGAGAAGCTGGTGTGTGGGTCTGTCTCCACTCTGGTGCTCAGCAACAGAGAAGCTGGGCTCACATTAATGACTGACTATTGAAGTTTTCCCATCATTTCTTTACCTCCACAAACTCTTTGTGGCTTTTGCAGTTAGTTTTGGGTCCTTTGCACTGTGCTGTGTTATCAGTGTCTGAGCCCTTCACTGCACCACTGGTCACTTTGGTTCCACCCGTCCCAGTATGTCCCAGTATGTCCCAGTATGTCTGTGTGCAGACTGTGAGAGTAATCAGTGCTCCTTGTTGTAAACTAGCTAACGGTGGCGGTGGACTCTGACGGGGACACGCCTGCCTGAGTGTTTCTGTCCTGTTACATGTTATGAAAGGTTTTTTCCTAATCATGGAAATAATTCTGCCATCATGCACTTTGTCTTCTTTGGCCTGTTGGTGCATGCAGTCATCCATGGTGAGTTAACCACCTCCTTCCTGTCTGACGCTGCAGGTTTATCCAGGCTAATGATGCCCGCCCTCACCTGCACTAACATCTCTTTGAGCCTCGTATTTAAAATTACCTTTAAAAGCAGCGAAAGGCATAAAACACAAAGTCCAGACTTTAAACCAACTTCCGACGTCGTGTCTGCTTCCTCTGGCCTCACCAGGCCTGCACCACTGACAGCTGACTGATCTGCTGTCAGTCCCAGAAACCTGAAGGCTGTGGACTGTTTATGGACAAAGCTGCAGCTCTTAAATCAAATCTTTCAAAAATGTCTTGAATTAAAGCCAAAAGTCTGAACTTCAATAAGATCCTCGATGTTCAGACGTAAAACTGCAAAACTGTGTTTGTCCCAAACCTTCTGGAGGCCCAGCAGGCGGCTCCAGACAATCCCTTTGACTGCAGTGTTGTAGCAGCAAAGCTGATGTCCTCGTCTGCTGTCTGACTGATGCCTTAATCGATGCATAAACAAAGCCACTCTAACACCTTTGTTCTTCTGTGTCGTGCATGTGTGAGCAAACCTCGTTAAAAAACTGCTGCGTTCGATGGAGGATGTGTTTGAGCTCCGTCAGCTCCAGGAAGTTCTTCTTCAGAGCTTCCTGGTTGGTGTTTATCTCCTTCAGTTCATTCTCCAGCTTCTCAAATGTGGCCTGACAAACACACACAGTTGATTGTGATAATGTTGACACGTTATTTTGATAGATACAACATTTTGTACCAACTCGATAAAAGCGATGGACAAGAAGGGAACACTGTTTTGGAAACGGCTGATTACCTCCAGGTCAATCATGTCTCTGGGAAAAGGAACTTCCGGGTTCTCTCCAGTGTCCACTGTCGGGATGTTGGCTTTTTTGATCTCCTTCTCAACAAACCCTGTTCATCGAGGAAACTCAGTGATTACCTCGTTACCACAACAAGGGAGCAGAAAGTCAGACTCAGCACTCACTCAGCTTCCTGTCCATCTCCTCGCAGCGCCTCACTTCATTCACAAACTTGCGCTGGAACACGTTTACATCTGGATTCAGCTGTTGTTAGAAAAAGAAACACATGTTTCAAAATGGATTATTGGGATTTGTCCTTCACCAAAACCAGCTTACACCATGATGATCAAAATGACTTTGTCAGTGTCAGTCTGGCACCATTCATACTCACATCTCTAAACTGGACCATGCCCAGTTCTCCCAGCTCGCTCACACAGCAGTAGGCTGCCTCTGACTGGAGAAAGAGCTGGGCCAGAGTCATCTCCTCACTTCTGAACAGTTCCCCCATGATGACCTCTGCACGCCACCTCAGCTAGGATCAACAAACACTGCAGCAATGACAGGAAGATTCAATAACAAGCACACCGTGCACAATAACTAAATATATAGCAAATATACCGTAGTCTCATTAAACTTGACTGCACTCTTCAGACTTTCCTACAATAAAGCGTAGTGTGGTTTCAGGTTTATACAGGCTGCAGTTAATCATTTTCTTCAGTGTTTTATCTGTAAAACAATCAAATAGTTATTTATGTCTTTAAACTGTGTTTGAGCACAAGAAAGCTCCAGGTGAACACCCTGGTGGGGCATTTCTACACCTGTCCTCTCTGTGGGGGCTTCATCGGGGTCACCTCCCACAAACCACAGACATAAGACGTAGTATTAGGACCAACAAAAAATATTGTTGGTCATTTGGTTGGAGCCACAACACTGATGCTCTTTACAGGAAGGGTCAGAGCAGACTCTACCTGCTGAGGCGGCTGAGGTCATTTGGAGTCCAGGGAGCGCTTTTAAAGACCTTCTATGACTCTGTGGTGGCATCTGTCATTTTTTACAGTGTGGTATGTTGGAGCAGCAGTTTATCAGCAGCTGAGAGGAAGAGGTTGGATAAACTCATCAGGAAGGCCAGCTCTGTTCTGGGATGCACCCTGGACCCAGTGCAGGTGGTGGGAGACAGAAGGACTCTGGCCAAAATAACATCTCTGATGGACAGAGACAGACCCCATGCATGTAGATGTTGCTGAACTGCAGAGCTGCTTCAGTGACAGACTGCTGCATCCTCGATGCATGAAGGAGCGTTTCTGCAGCTCCTTCCTCCCTGCAGCTGTCAGACTGTACAATCAGAACTGCTCCCAACAAACAGATGTTTACATCAGCGCTGTAACTGCAATAAGTTAATTAACCGATTCGCACTACAACCTGGTTTGCCTCTTACCTGTAGTTATTTTTATTTAATTTAATAACTGTACAGTGCTCTCTGTTTATAGTAACCATTGTCCTTAATGTAAATATGTAAGAAAAATTGTGTATGTTTCTGTTCTATGTCCTGTGTACTGTTTGGTAGTATATTTGTCCTTTTGGCTGCTGTTACAACCAAATTTCCCCTTGTGGGACAATTAAAGGATTATTCTATTCTATTCTATTCTATTTTGAGAATAAAGTGGGAAGTCTGTTTTGAGAAAAACACTGAAATGTTTGGCTGCTACAGCCTCGACACACAGTCTTGTTAGATGACTTGGTGACACTAATGCGACACAACATCCTCCTGGTTGTATGAGGGTGCAAACATCCATAATCTTGCATCTGTCCATCATCAGCTCATTTTGTACGAGCTCTCAGGGACACACTTTAAGCTGCACGGTGCTGATGGAAGCGCACAGCAGCAGGAAGTCAAATTAGACGAGTGCACTGTAAAAACCAAAAACCCCACTGACAGGAAACACCACACACACCTCATAAATCGCATAGAGGATGAATGCGCTGGCAGGAGTCTGGTTTTAGCAGGTCGTGTGCTGTAGGTAAACGGATGATGCTAGAACAGGCTAAAGATGCTAATGCTCGTCTGTCAGAGCGGCTTTACGGGCACCAGGCCCCACGACAGGCTGGGCTCCACATCTCAGCACGATGAAAGCCACATTAGGAATCACCAGGATTAATAATCATCGACGTCATACATGTAGTTCCTGTTGGTGCATCAACGGAGGCTTACAGAGCATCGCTGACGTCACTGCATCCCTGCTGATGCAGCTCCGTCCTTCACTGCTCAAGGACGCTGCTGGCTCAGGCCTACAGCCGCTTCATTCATGCTCGTTTTAAATATGAATATCTATAAACAACGACGTAGCTCCGCTGTGTGGCAGGACACCAAGTGCCCCGCAGCCTCATCCTGCCACCTCTGTGAGAACACGAATCACTGCTCGTCAAACTAACCTTGAAATAAGCCTCACTGCAAACACAGAGGAGCTGACCACCGCCTCACGGCTCCCACGGACAAACGTGGACTGTGGTTCCTAATCCTCAAACATCCTCCACAGTATCCACACTCACCTCACAAGCTGCAGCTCAGCCCTCTCTGCACACTTCAGTCTCCTCCTGGATGCTGCGGTGGTCCTGCGCTGCGTCAAGTTACACTTCAGCAGGAAACGTGTGCGATGGAGGATTTCAAAGTAAAATGGCCTATCTTTATCTCAGATTTCTTTCGTTTTGACGATGGACATAGAAGTGAACTCGAACTTACACATCTCAGATGTGAAGGATGCGCAAAACACGCGAATACAGCAAATAGGGGAATCAGTTCAATGGGGATATATTTAGAAAATGTTGAAGGTTTTTTTGGGTTTTTTTTTGTTTTTTTAATTAATTAATTTATTTATTTATTTATTTTGAAAATGTTGAAGGCGATTCACGGCTTTTCTGCGGGATACATCCCTTTGACCTATCACAGTGTGCGGGGTCGATTCTTACTGCTCCCACCGAGCCCTGATCTCTGAGCATTTTGGTGTTGGATGGATGCAAACTGCATTTCGTTGCCCTGTACCTGTGCATGTGCAATGACAATAAAGTTGAATTCTATTCTATTCTATTTTACATGAAGACACAGAAACACTGAAAGAGATCAAAAGCATCAAGAAAACTTAGCTTTGCATCTACACGTCGTTTTAGCTCCCAAATCTTTCATGAAGAGCTGCATGTCAAGTTCTGATTAACTGTCATGTTCTTACTTGTGCCTATACGATGTTTATGATGCCTCCTTTCTTATTACTACCAGCTAAAGAGCAGAGCTGCCAGAGCCCCTCTTAAGGTCTAACAGATGCTGTGTGCACGACTAGCCAAATGTTGAGTCAGTACTAATGAGAACCTGTAGAAAGTTTCCTATTACGAAAGCCACAGTAGTAGTTTCAGCATCTCTCAGTTCCACATGGTGCAGGTTTAAATCAGGACACTGGGAAGCTGCCAGTGAGCAATTCTGGAGCAGGAATTCCCTTAATGTACATAAACGACCACAGCAGACGACTGCACGGAGCAGCTTCTGCCTCATTCTGTGTGCCATGTGTTTTTCATAACGTGTGCCATGGAGATGCCTTCAATAACCAAACATGA